TATATATTGCTCTACATAGAACCTTTTTGAAAACGTTTCTATATAGCACCGAAAAGGGTTCCTCTATTGTTATGATGTCAAGCTTGTTACAATAGAAGAACCCTTTTTGGTGCTATATAAAACCCTTTTCAAAAAGGTTCCATATACAACCATGTACAGCACATCATCATTGTGAAGAACCCTTTCATGATGCAAAGAATATGCAAATTTAATCGTGCAAAGGGTTCTTTGGGTGTTCATCGTTCTTTACAGAACCACTTTCTTTACAAAAGAACCCTTGAAAAGCCATCTTTTTTTAAGTGGTTCTTTAAGAAGAACCACTTTTTTGTATAAATATCTATTTCATGGTTGGTTCTTAAAAAAAAACTTCAAGTTAAAAGTTATTTAGGGAACCAGAAGTGGTTCTTTTATGCATTGACCCAAAGAATTCTGTCACTTTTTTGATTGATGATTAAGGTGATTAAGGATTTTAAATGACATCTAACATTTAACTCATAAATTGTGGCCTTTGTAGAGTAAATGCATGTAAAACATCATAGAGTGCTTTTACATGCAGTTAATAGTCCAATAACTGCAGAAAATCAGATTTTGTCAGTAATCCGTCAACGCGTTTACATGCACTTGAGTAAACAGATAATGTGAAACTCTGGGTCTACATGAGTCAGACAGTAATCAGATTTCTGCTTTATAACCAGCGAATAAACTCACAGAAGAAGACGTGACAAAAACGTAAGGTACAACTCAAACCTCATGCCGCTGCTTTTTTTTAAACATTGCGCCGCTTTACCTGAAAATATGAACATACATCATGTAAAAATGAAGAGTATTTAAATCCTTCATTCTGTCAAGCGTGTATTTGGTTTCAGCGTCGATCCAAAAGTGTTTGGCTGTGTCTCGTGGCGATGCTTCTCGCTTATTTCCAGTACCGCCGTCTGTTTTTGCACATGTGCAGACTGAGAAATCCGGAAGAAATCAGAGTAAGAGTTTACATGCACTGAGAAATCGGATTACTGAGCTAAAATCCAGCCTCTTTATCAGATTTCTTAATCAGATTTCTAGATCTTACTCTGATCTAAGAAATCAGAGTTTGCTGTTTACACGACCATTTGAATAATCAGATAGCTGCAGAAATCTAATTATGATCAGATTATTGAGTGCATATAAATGCACTCATTGACTTTGTAATGCAATGTTTTTCCAGTGATGGAATCTAAAACAGCCAGAACAGGTTCAGCGTTATCCTGCTCTGTTAGATCCAGCTGGGATTCAGTGGTTTCACGTTGAAGTTCACAGTCCTGACTGGTGCCCCCTGTGTTTTTATGGAGAGCTGACTCTTACAGTGAGAGTCTGTTTCAATTAAACTGTGAGAAAAGGGGAGGAATAACTTTTATGCTGCTTGTTAAAGGAGATTAAAGTACAGTAGATTAAATCTCACACCTGTAACTTGACATTTTTCATTCTAACCTTAAGAAAAATGAACATTTAACCGAGAGCATAATGTGAAAGCTCACTATGCGATACCCTTCAGGCTAGGATGTTTCTTCAGTGTTTCATGAAAAGGTCCTGGGGAGCACCTCGTTTTCATGTGGCTTTCAGAATAATTTATGGACGTACATACGGCCGGTTTGAGGGTGTTTTTTAAGCGGATAGCTTGGAAATGTCTGAGCGCAGGGTTGATCGCCTGGCATTTATCATTGTGCGTTACTGGCTTGTGTGTGTGCTGCCTTGCATGCCTGTGCAAGGTTAACCCTTAATAGTCAAGCGTTATTATTGCTATACAGAGAGAGTATATATATTCACTTTACATTACAGCATTATTTGAATGTAACTAGTTCACACAGTAAAAAAATCAAGTAGTTATATCTGTAAATAAATTACATTTACAATCGATTTACATTTTATATTGGGAGCTTCAATGTTTTGCACAAATCAAGGCTGTATGCATAGCAGTTCTTTGTGACACGTTATGTACTAGTACTGCTTTTAGCTAAGCAGGGTTCACAGTAAAAAAGATTTATTTTTACTGATAAAGTACCATAAAATTTGAAAGTCAATACCTGTTTTTTGAAGAAAAAATGTTAAATGCATGTAAATAAACCAAACATATACTGTCTTTAATTCTGCTGTTGTTCATTTACAGAAGAGGAACGTAAATTCACAGAAACCAATGAGCACCTTTATCGCACAGACATTTGCATTTATTTTAATGGTTTTACGGGTAAAATGCTGTATGTGCAAATAAGTAGTTTATCTTTAAAGCAGCTGAAATGCAGTAAAAGGCAGTGCTTGAATGATACTAAATTACTGTAATTTTACAGATATTTACCATTATTGAGAAAACATATTTTTACTGTTAATTAGCAGTTTTTTTTCATTAGTGACTAGTTTCATTTTACAGTGTACTTTAATGTCAGACTTGCTTCTAAGGTTTCTGACACTTTGTGAAAAATAGTTCTATATAAAAATGAACAAAAGTATTCAAGAAATGTGTACATGTTAG